CATGCGAGGGGGAAACACTCTATCCCATACATACACACAAACAGTCACAGATGGAGTCCACATCTTTGCTTGTACCGCCTTCTCCCGGCAAGCCAGGGTTATGGCTCCTCCTCGACGTGCACGGGGAGGGGGGGGGTTGCGCAACGACATCTGTGTGTGACCCACCAACCCTCGCAGCTTCCTCCACAGTTGCTGGCTTACAGGCAACCACGTGCGAGCCTCGCTACCGCCACCGACTGGCGAAGACGCGCGGTCTCCCCTCTCTCACGCCCAAGGCACCCACCGCCGTAACGTTCTGACCCACCTCCTACTTGACGTCTGTGGGAAAAGAGCTTCATAGCTCATCGGATTCCTCCTGCAGTAAAAAATACTGTATATATGTGTAGTGACATCACGGATGTCACTGTGCAATGCCGGCTCAAGAGAGGCACGGCGTGCGGTGTGTTGACATCGCGGGCACCACGTGGATGTGGGGGCAGTAGCGGCCCGAGAGGGGCTCGGTGAGCGCTGACTGGCAGTGCTGGATGGCACCACGCTCTGCGTGCAGTGCCGACCCCTACAGGCCGTGGCACTCTGGTTGACGCCAGAGGACACGTGACCAGTTGAGTCTTCACAGGGGCTCCCAGGTGGGGGCTAGGGGTGGTCACGTGTCAGGTCGAGATCCTCCTCGAAGATTCTCGAAGGTGGTCGTGGCGAGGGGCGGAGCCAGCCACACCACAGAGGATATAAGCCGGGTCTCCGAGTGGGACCGGCTGCTGTTGTCTTCCTACAAGAGTCACCAACACGTGGACCCGGACCCAGGCTAGGGTCCGGTCCGTCCTAGCTTAATTCCATTGTAATTAGTGTAGATAGCCTGGTGGTCCACCACCATAAGTTGTTAATGTGTTAAGGGGTTAGTACCCCGTGTGTTGGTTTAATAAATGTGTTGCCTCCAAGAAGTGCATCTGTGACTCAGTTGAACTCACTACACATACACATGTATTCGGATTCCGTGCTCCACCCGGGTGGTGCGCGGCGGGCAGCCGCAGCCCCGCGGCACACGCACCCCACGCGGCAGTTCCCCCCGGAGCGAGGCGCTGAAATCGCGCGGATTTCCCCGCAAAGTTTGCGGCGTTGCTCTGCGCTGCTCGAGTTTGCGCAGCGAGAGGATGGAAGGGAGGCTGGCTGCATACCAGTTGGCTGCCCCGTTGCGGGTGGAGATATCCCTCCCAGTGCCGGATTATCCGAGTGTAGTGGGTTCACGTGAGAGACACCCTTGACTTTGGAGGCCACACGTTTATTCTATGACCACAACGGGATAACTACATGAACGTAACAACGGCATAACTATGTAGTGGTAACCACCACGAGGTAACTACATAACCGGGTCAGGTCAGCGTGAAGAAGACCGGAGAGTCGTAGTACGGCGGGTTCCATTCCAGTAGACAGCCCGGATCGGACCTTTTATGCCCCTCAGCGTGGCCCGGCTCCGCCTCGGCCTTCTAGAACTCCCTAGAAGACTCTGGGCCTGGCATCACATGTCCCTTCTGTCACCTTTGGCCCACATCCTTACCCTGTCCTGTCACGTGCCCTTGCCAGCCAATCGGGCTGCTACGTCCTCACATGCTCTCTCTCTCTCTCTCTGCCCGCCGCTAGAACCGTGCTCCTTATGGACCATTTACCATGGCATAGCACACCCTGCTGGCAGAGAGGGCTACCTACACTCCAGTTCTACCTCTATAAGTAACTGACGCTGTGCGCCTTAGTGACCCAATATACGTCACTACACTAGTAGCAAAAGTAGCTACATATGCTACGGGCTCCGCACTTTCAAGGGCCCCGCGCTAAACACTTTCAAGCTATCAATTTCGGTTCAGTGATTCTGCACTTGCTCTATTACTATAGTACTATACTGCCTTCAACTTTCACGAACGACCGGGTGTTTAAGGTTAGCGATTCGTCGTATTATCTGGCTGTATAGCAAATGAAAAAATACAATTACTTTACTATGCAAGCAAAAAATGTGTTTTAATATGTATGTGTATTTTTAGGGCCCCTTTATAACATATGCTACAGGCCCCGCACGGCTTTGCAGATCCATGAGAACCCCATGACACGCGACATTAAACATCGAGCGCGAATTGATGCACGCATAACGGGAGCTTGATAATTATCGGCAGATTAATCGATGCAGGGTTACATCCATTATTTTCATCTGCAATACAAAAATATTAATATACTATAATCGGCACAAGTAGTGAACCGTTGATTCTGACGCGTCTGTTTTGATGCACGTATCGCCAAGTAATAACGAGGAATCGATTGAATTCAATGAACCGATGTCTGCTTCGAGAATTCTCACGCGTGACTCTGAGCGCCCCCTGGTGATGGGGGCGCCGTGGCACGCCTTGGACGGGGGGGGGGGGGGGAGCGAGCGGCTGGGTACTGGTACCCGTTTGCGACCCTGGTGCGGCCGGGTACGGGTACGGGTAGACCGTGAGTCACTGGTGAGTAACTGTTTGTCACTCATTTCCCAACGTCTTGTCTCTTCTCACAATTCAAGTTCCTAGAATCAACCCACCCGCGCCTGCAACATGGCTTCATCCCAGAGGTCGCATCAGGTACCCGATACCCGTACCCTACCCTGGTGCGGCCGGGAACGGGTAAGGAATCAAAACCCGTTTGCGACCTCTGCTCTCCGTTCACCACAGAGACCCAAGGGCTGCCGCTGCTGCTGCCGCTGCTGTTGCTGCTGAGAAGGCGACGCCAGCGCCTGGTGGTGACCCGTGCGCTGGCGACCTGAGCGGTGCACAACACGCGGCGGGAGTCCAGGAGATCTTAAGGGAGTGACGTGTCCTCTCTTCTCATCCCCGGGGGCTCGGCGGGTCCGGGCCCCCCCCCGCCCCCCCTCCCCCGTGGAGGGGAGTAGAGCCCTTGGGGAGACGGGGCCGCAGGAGCGGGTCACGGTGCCGCCTCGTACCACGTACCGGAGGCCGCGGAATCCGCATGCCTCCACACTGCCCGGGACTGACACCCTCCCTCGGGAACCCCCTCTGTCGGCCACCTCCTGGCACCCGCATCCCTCCCCCGCGTCCTCCCGTGAGTTTAGGAACCGCGTGCGATTCTCGGATTATTGCGGTGGGGGTAGGCGAGGGGAGATACGGAGGTGGTGGTGGGGGAGAAGGAGTATGGGCCAACTCCCGTCCTTCTTCTCGTCCGCATCTTCCAGCCCCTATACCCTACGCAGAGCCTCGTTTTGGGTCAAGGCTGGTTGGCGAATTTGCGACCGGTGGCTGGCAGTGCGAGGTGGGGCCAGAGCGGAACGGCGAGGCACGCGCCGCGCAACTTGCTCACAGCAGCCGGCATGAGCGCGGCTCGGGCGTGGGGGGCTAAGGGGGCCGAGAGTGGAAGGGCCACCGGAGTTTGATGAAGGTGGAAATAGAAAGATTGCACGAGCGTCGGCGAAGAGGCGCGTCTCGAGCTGGGACTTGAACTGCAGACGCTGAGGGTCAAAGGGACTCTCTTCAGTCCGTCGCGGGGACTCGCTCACTATTCGTGGTGTCACGGAAGGGGCACACTTCACCCTGAGTCGTTCGTACGCGTGTTGAACTTCTTTTGCGCCGTACGTAGCCGACCGTGCTCATTGAAGGCGCACTTTGTATCGGTGGCGAGATGTTAACTACCTCGATTTACATGCAGGAGGTCGTGGGTTCGATCCTGACCCTGAAGCCTGCATATTTGGAGTTTGCATGTTTTCCCCGTGGAGAACATGCACATTTAGAATAATGCTTTTCGAGTGTTTGACTGCCATCAATTTCCACACGATGATAAGCCACTTTGTTGAGCTATCATTTGTGGTCAGGTCGCTTCTGGTAAAATAACAAAAAGTCAGCAAGTTAGTTAATATCGTTCCTAATGATCGCACGCATTTAACTAAAGCCACGGGATTAAACCCGAACGTGGAAGTCGCGCTGATGGCGGCTCGGAACCAATGGTGGAATTTTCACGTTCCTATCGTGGGGACCAGTCCGTCAATTGAATAGCAGCGGTTGACTTTAACAGAACGCAGGAGGGAGAGAAGCTTTTTTTTAAAATAGTCTCCTGTCCGCGATTATTACCTCCACCCCTCCGCAGCAGAGTTCCAGTGAGAGGCGCGGAGCCGAGAGGAACGCGTTGATGTCGGCCGACGTTGATTTAACGCGACGTTGATAAGAAGTGAACCCCGCAAGCCACGTGAACTGTCTCTACGGGCACCATGACGCCCACCCCCCACACACACAGGCCTGGAACACGACTAATGGTGCACTCATCATAGTAACAGCAGTTTCAGTAATTAAAGTGGACGAGAGATCTCGATTCGTTGTTGTTCAACCCGGGCGGATGAAACTATCCCTGAGTTCCACGCTACACAACCTGCACCACTTTCACTCGCACGCAGCCACGGCGCCGAGACCTCAAATCGGGACTCTTGTTTTTCCTTTGCAGTTTCAGTCGAATTGACAGCATCGTCAACACCACTCTCACTGATGTTCTCCTGAGCCGTGGCTCACGCCGGGCCCCTGCTTCACCTACCGGCGAGCTGGCACGACGAAGAAGAGGCCCTTGGGGTCTGGTTTCTCCTCTGAGAGATCGAGGCCCCGGATGTCTGTTCCAGGACCGGCGGTCCCCAAGCAGCGGGTGATGGGCAGGGACCGCGTCACGACTCCGCGTGGCCGGTGGGGGCGCAGAGGGTCGAGGGGGATGGGATAAGAAAGTGGAGGAGGCGCGAGCCCACGGGACGAGGGGGTGTGAAACGGGAGGTGTGGGGGGGTTCAGGGGTGAGAGGGTGAGTGACGGCGGGAGCGGGTGGCGGCTGCGCAGGGAGGGGTGAGGTGGGGTTGCGGATGGGAGCAGAGGATTGGGGGGGGGGGCGATAGAAAAGAAGCTGGCATGAATCCACGTTCCAGGGCCCTGGCCGGAGCATAAAACGGGCTTGTGGAGTGGAGTTCGTGCCCATTGAAGCGAGCGTGGCGGAGGGGGCGTCCTGCCTCATCTCCATCACAATACCGCGCTCTGCCAGCGCCGTCACCGCCGCGAGCCCGGGGGAGGCGAGACGGGGGAGGGAGCAGGGAAGAGAACGAGGCTGCCGCTTGGACCGCAGCAGCAGCAGCAGCAGCGAGAAAGAGCGAGAACTTCTCGGCGAGGAGGAGGAGGAGGCATAGCGAGCCATGGTGGCCGGCGGGCTGCTCGTCGTGGCGTGCCTGGCCGCGGCCGCGCGCGCGTCCCTCGGTAAGGGGGGGGGGTGGTCCCGCTACCGCGCGCTCGCTCAAGGAGCGCCGCTGCGCCTCGCGCCCCGCGCGCTGCGTGTGACGCGCCCCGCGCTCTCGACCCCGATTCGAGTCGGGGCTTCGGCGTGGACGTGAGGACGCAGTGGGGTGGACGCCGTAGCCGTTGGCCTCCACACATTTTGGACGTGGGTGGCGAGCCCTATGCTCTGTACCCTTTCAGTCGCCTTTGTCACCGTCATCACCACCATCATTATTGTTGTTAATTATGGGCTCTGCGTGGGTTTTCTATGGCTACGTGCCATCAATTTAGTTGAGACTCGTTCCCACGCGCCTGGGATGTTGGAAAAGCTCGAGACAGCAGCAGCAGGTGTCGTGATGCCGCGTGCAGCCCCCCCACCCCCCCCCCAATTGGGCCCCCGATTTCACGGAGAGGGTTCCGCGCGTCTCACAGGGGCGACCAGCGACGCGGGTTTGAGTGGCGCTGACTCGGGAGTCACTGGCACCCCGCGCGTGCAGCAGCAGCACCGTTTTTCAAAGGTGACCTCGGGGCTTGTGCGCCCGTGTGAGTCACCGTTATGGGCTCTTAATATTTCTCGTTTTACGGAATTGGCCAGACCAATTGAAAAGCAGCCGTGAGGCTCGGCGAGATTGTTGTGGATACAACAGCAATGCAATTTACACGATTGTATTCACGATCCAATTAGCCATGCTTTTCAGCATTGTGTCCATAACGCCTAAGGGTACAACGCAGCCTGTGACGTGCTTCTTTAATAATCCACGTTATGAAAACAAGTCTGCCTTGTGCACGTGGGTCGTGGGCGACGAACTGCCGCCGCTGAACAACCGCGGCGTGTGAAGTGAAAAGCCTCGCGCGCACGAAGGGAACGCGGCTCATGTCAACGGGGCGGTGTGGATTCGACTCGGAGCACGGAGCTCGCCACTGTGGCGGTGCACGTGTGGTGGTGCTAGTGGTGGTGCACGTGTGGTGGTGCTAGTGGTGGTGCTAGTGGTGGTGCTAGTGGTGGTGTACGTGTGGTGGTGTACGTGTGGTGGTGCTAGTGGTGGTGTACGTGTGGTGGTGCTAGTGGTGGTACACGTGTGATGGTGCTAGTGGTGGTGCTAGTGGTGGTGTACGTGTGGTGGTGCTAGTGGTGGTGCACGTGTGGTGGTGCTAGTGGTGGTGCTAGTGGTGGTGCTAGTGGTGGTGTACGTGTGGTGGTGTACGTGTGGTGGTGCTAGTGGTGGTGTACGTGTGGTGGTGCTAGTGGTGGTGCACGTGTGATGGTGCTAGTGGTGGTGCTAGTGGTGGTGCACGTGTGGTGGTGCTAGTGGTGGTGCTAGTGGTAGTGTACGTGTGGTGGTGCTAGTGGTGGTGTACGTGTGGTGGTGCTAGTGGTGGTACACGTGTGGTGGTGCTAGTGGTGGTGCTAGTGGTGGTACACGTGTGGTGGTGCTAGTGGTGGTGCTAGTGGTGGTGCTAGTGGTGGTGCTAGTGGTGGTGTACGTGTGGTGGTGCTAGTGGTGGTGCACGTGTGATGGTGCTAGTGGTGGTGCTAGTGGTGGTGTACGTGTGGTGGTGCTAGTGGTGGTGCTAGTGGTGGTGCTAGTGGTGGTGCACGTGTGATGGTGCTAGTGGTGGTGCTAGTGGTGGTGCACGTGTGGTGGTGCTAGTGGTGGTGCTAGTGGTGGTGCTAGTGGTGGTGTACGTGTGGTGGTGCTAGTGGTGGTACACGTGCGGTGGTGCTAGTGGTGGTGCTAGTGGTGGTGCTAGTGGTGGTGTACGTGTGGTGGTGCTAGTGGTGGTGCTAGTGGTGGTGTACGTGTGGTGGTGCTAGTGGTGGTGCTAGTGGTGGTGCTAGTGGTGGTGCACGTGTGATGGTGCTAGTGGTGGTGCTAGTGGTGGTGCACGTGTGGTGGTGCTAGTGGTGGTGCTAGTGGTGGTGCTAGTGGTGGTGCACGTGTGGTGGTGCTAGTGGTGGTGCTAGTGGTGGTACACGTGTGGTGGTGCTAGTGGTGGTGCTAGTGGTGGTGCTAGTGGTGGTGCTAGTGGTGGTGTACGTGTGGTGGTGTACGTGTGGTGCTAGTGGTTGTGCACGTCTGGTGGTGCTAGTGGTGGTGCTAGTGGTGGTGCTAGTGGTGGTGCTAGTGGTGGTGTACGTGTGGTGGTGCTAGTGGTGGTGCTAGTGGTGGTGTACGTGTGGTGGTGCTAGTAGTGGTGTACGTGTGGTGGTGCTAGTGGTGGTGCTAGTGGTGGTACACGTGCGGTGGTGCTAGTGGTGGTGTACGTGTGGTGGTGCTAGTGGTGGTGTACGTGTGGTGGTGCTAGTGGTGGTGTACGTGTGGTGGTGCTAGTGGTGGTACACGTGTGGTGGTGCTAGTGGTGGTGTACGTGCGGTGGTGCTAGTGGTGGTGCTAGTGGTGGTACACGTGCGGTGGTGCTAGTGGTGGTGCTAGTGGTGGTGTACGTGCGGTGGTGCTAGTGGTGGTGCTAGTGGTGGTGTACGTGCGGTGGTGCTAGTGGTGGTGCTAGTGGTGGTGTACGTGTGGTGGTGCTAGTGGTGGTACACGTGTGGTGGTGCTAGTGGTGGTGCTAGTGGTGGTGTACGTGTGGTGGTGCTAGTGGTGGTACACGTGTGGTGGTGCTAGTGGTGGTGCTAGTGGTGGTACACGTGCGGTGGTGCTAGTGGTGGTGCTAGTGGTGGTACACGTGCGGTGGTGCTAGTGGTGGTGCTAGTGGTGGTGTACGTGCGTGGTGCTAGTGGTGGTGCTAGTGGTGGTGTACGTGCGGTGGTGCTAGTGGTGGTGCTAGTGGTGGTGTACGTGTGGTGGTGCTAGTGGTGGTACACGTGTGGTGGTGCTAGTGGTGGTGCTAGTGGTGGTGTACGTGTGGTGGTGCTAGTGGTGGTGCTAGTGGTGGTGCTAGTGGTGGTGCTAGTGGTGGTACACGTGCGGTGGTGCTAGTGGTGGTGTACGTGTGGTGGTGCTAGTGGTGGTACACGTGCGGTGGTGCTAGTGGTGGTGCTAGTGGTGGTGTACGTCTGGTGGTGCTAGTGGTGGTGTACGTGTGGTGGTGCTAGTGGTGGTGTACGTGTGGTGGTGCTAGTGGTGGTGCTAGTGGTGGTGTACGTCTGGTGGTGCTAGTGGTGGTACACGTGCGGTGGTGCTAGTGGTGGTGTACGTGTGGTGGTGCTAGTGGTGGTACACGTGCGGTGGTGCTAGTGGTGGTGCTAGTGGTGGTGTACGTCTGGTGGTGCTAGTGGTGGTGTACGTGCGGTGGTGTTAGTGGTGGTGCTAGTGGTGGTGCTAGTGGTGGTGTACGTGTGGTGGTGCTAGTGGTGGTGCTAGTGGTGGTACACGTGTGGTGGTGCTAGTGGTGGTGTACGTGTGGTGGTGCTAGTGGTGGTGTTAGTGGTGGTGTACGTGTGGTGGTACTAGTGGTGGTACACGTGCGGTGGTGGTGCTGATGGCCGCCACTCTCTGCGCGCGCCGACTGTCCCCACCTCAGCTTACCTCGTTGCAGCTCGCGATCTAATGGGGGGCGGGGGGGGGGTTGAGTTTCTGGAGTTGAGGTCGACGCTGCCCTGCAGTACGAGCAGAGTCGCTCATTCTCCTGCCGAACAAAGGGGAGGGCGAGGGGAGAGATTAACGCTCGCGCGCGGCGCATTCTCCGCATTGTTGCCCGGGCAGGGGTCCCGCGCCGGACCCCCTTGCCGAGATTCCTCTCTGTAACAACGATTATAATGACCCCTCGCCACAGAGCGCCTTGCCGGGTCCCGTTACCCGTGTGCTTTGAGGACCCTGCCTGCAATGAGATTCCTCATGGGCTTGCCAGGCGTTGTAGACGCGGGGCTGCAGAGGTGCGGCCAGGGCATGGCAGTGCTGGGGATCACACCCTCGTATAGGTGGTGGGCTTTCTGGTTTCCCCCACACGGCACCAAACTATCATGAATGGCTTTGACCAAACATACCAACACGGACGTCCTGCGGCAGTCTTGAATGAGACTCGGCGAGGCTTTTCTGGGTACATAATGCGGCATCGTTACGCTTACTATACAAGTATAGATGTTTTACGGCGAAGAGAAAGCGTGGTGCCTTCCGCAAGAGGGGACTGCATACAGGAGTTCTGTTTAACCTCCGTGCTGCTCTGCCATCCACTGGCAACCATCACGCGCCCCATCCCTGCGCCATCCGCCAACCCCGCTCAGACGCGGGCCTCTTTATGGGGTAACGATATCGACACGCGGTGGGGGGGCAGGGGGTGGGGGTGAGGGGGTGTTCTCTTCGGTTCACGTGGGTTCACGTGGGTTCACGTGGGCCCCCGAGTGAGCGGGCCCCGTGGAGACGGAGCGGGGGTTGACGCGGGATGGTTTGCGCGTTGCCGCGCAACGCTGCTCCCCAGCGGCGCCGACTGGGCTCGAGCCACGTGGCCGGCGCGGCCTCGACTCTTCGTGGAGGGAGCCTCCTCGCATCTCCCTCGGTGACAGCTCCGGGGACTCGGTGACAGCTCCGGGGACTCTGTGACAGCTCCGGGGACTCGGTGACAGCTCCGGGGACTCTGTGACAGCTCTGGGGACTCGGTGACAGCTCCGGGGACTCTGTGACAGCTCCGGGGACTCGGTGACAGCTCCGGGGACTCTATGACAGCTCCGGGGACTCGGTGACAGCTCCGGGGACTCGGTGACAGCTCCGGGGACTCTGTGACAGCTCCGGGGACTCGGTGACAGCTCCGGGGACTCTGTGACAGCTCCGGGGACTCGGTGACAGCTCCGGGGACTCTGTGACAGCTCCGGGGACTCGGTGACAGCTCCGGGGACTCGGTGACAGCTCCGGGGACTCTGTGACAGCTCCGGGGACTCGGTGACAGCTCCGGGGACTCGGTGACAGCTCCGGGGACTCGGTGACAGCTCCGGGGACTCTGTGACAGCTCCGGGGACTCGGTGACAGCTCCGGGGACTCGGTGACAGCTCCGGGGACTCGGTGACAGCTCCGGGGACTCTGTGA